CGAAACCGAAATTATTTCGGGTTCAACCGGATCTTGGATATGTTACTAAACCCGAACCGAACCCGACTAAACCCGAACCGAATCCGACCCGAATTTTTATAATATCCGAATGGGGCTGAAATTCATGAACCCGAAAACCCGAAACCCGAATGAACCCGAACCGAAACCCGATTGGGACCCCGATTGCCCAGCCCTAGTTTATCCACACAAAACACGGCTCTTTCACTATATTACAATCTCGCATCCTTACTCATGTTTTTTTTTTTTTTTGAAAAAGGACTTATCGTTAGAGTTTTTATCACCACAAGACAGTTTTGTGTTTTTTATAACAAAAAAAGGCAGTTATCACTCCTAAGGCAGTTTTGGAGTGAAAAGACTCAACTTGCCCTTTTAAAAATGTAACCATAGGCATTCTATTTAGTTAGAGTAATTAACTAATTTTTTAATTGGTCAAGTTTCTGAAAAAATGACGGTCACGAGCACCAAACACCACCACCAAACTCTATGTTCTTGCTCAAAACCTTATGTGATGTCACTGTAAATAAAAAATTTGAAACCCAGACATTCAACTCAAGATTTCTTGTTGCTGCCTTAGTCATTGTCAAAAATCACCTCTGAATCACTCTGCTATGCTCATCTTCACCGTCGTGCCCATCTGAAGTTGTTATGGCATTTGACTGTGGTGTCTTGGTTCAATTCGGTCACGGAATCGGGAGAATACAAAAAAAAAAAAAAATTGAGTTTAGTAGTTGATATAAGAATTTAAACGAAATTTCTATAATCTTGAAGATAAAACGTAAAAGAATAGAAGATTATGAGAAATAAATCAGTGGCTGCTGAAAAATTGTTGCAGAAAACCCTAAAAATCTGGGAAAGACGAAGACATATTTACCAAAATGCTCTCACTAAAAAGTTGAAAATAATGTGTACACATGGATAATAACGTGTACACATTGTTTAACAAAAATGCGTACCAAGTTTCTGAACAAGACATGTACACATTCATAGGTGTACACATGGATAATAACGTGTATGTACACTTTATATATGGTATTGTATACACCGTTTTAGTCTAAAGTTTTATGTGATAGATGTACACATGTACATATTTCCACTATGAAATAGACGTACATGTACACTAGTTCTTTGTACACCACACAAGTTATGATTCTTATAAGAAAATCACATGTACACTAGATGTACACACGTTTTAGACTAAAATTTTGTTTGATAGATGTATACATGTTAGAGACTTGAGGGTTCAGTATCATTGTGTACATTTGGTGGGCTTGTTCTTGTAGAAGTGACGCTGATCCAGAGCATGTACACGAATTCTCTTATAAAAATCACATGTCCATATATACAATATTTTATAGAAAATCACATATACACTAGTTCTTTGTACACAACACAAGTTATGATTCTTATAAAAAATCACATGTATACTAGATGTACACACGTTTTAGACTAAAGTTTTGTTTGATATTTGTACATCATTTTACATATCCATATGAACAAAAGGGTGCGTCCGACCTGGTTGTACATAGATATTAGATACCAAAATATCCACATTGATGTGTACATACAAAAATACCCATGTGTACATATATGATATCTCATGTTTTTAATGACTTTTAGCATCTCGTTTTGTGTTAACATTATTGCGAGTTCATGAAGTCGTAGATGTTTAGTTATTTAGATAGAAAACCTACTAAAAAGTATACACAAAATTTTGATGTATAATACAAATTAGGTGTACACATGTACAATATAAATCTAATGTACACACGACTTTTTTTTCATTAATGTTGCAAAATTACCGAAATGACCTCATCTTCTTCCTTAGCCATTTTCGACCAGAAACTCTAATTTCCGCCCAAATCGCCTATTTTCCATGATTCTTTACATTTTTAACTTGTTTTTAATGTATTTTGTACTCAGATGTGTTAGCTTTCAATCCTAATTCATGGCTTTGTCTAAGAGGTTTGAACAAATATGATTTTTTGGTTTTGGTCCTCATTCATGGCTTTGTCTGAGAAATTGTAAAGGGGCTTTTGCGACGGTGGTGGATATTAACAAGAATTTCCCTGTTTACTTTTGAGTATTAAAAAATCTACAAGACGATGACAAAGAGGTAAGGATGTTGTAATGGTGGGAAAAAAGAGACAAAATTTTTGACATGGTATCGATAAATAAAGAAGAAGAAGAAGAAGAAAAAATATGGGATCTTAGATCCGATAAAGAAAAAGAGATAAAATAATAAATATCCACTAATGATAAAAACAAAAATGATTTTGTTTTAGTTAGTGAATCTAACGAGAGATGGGTTTAGTTGAAGAAAACTACCTTAGTAGTAAGAAGTGCCTTAAAGTGTAATAATAAACTTGAAACTGCCTTTGAGTGATATATTTTCCCAAATTTTCTTATCGTTACTCATGTTGCTAGTCTATCACCGATAACAAGCCGGCCGCCAGGTTATGAATGAGAAATTTAAGCGAGTTTTGTTGTATTTAATAATATCTTCTGAAAGTGTATTCAATGACGATGATAGTACGTACTCATCACGAGACTTGATCGCTTTTTTTTTTTTTTTTATCGCGCTTGTTGTTTATGACGATTCACCAGTTTACGGAGTCTTTTTGGGGCTATGTGACATATTTTTTGGATTTTATTTCATGAAAATAAGAAATCTATATTGAATAATTTAGAAGCCAATAACTATTATGTATATCATTATATTGGTTCAGACACATAAATCAAAACAATTACTGTTATTTCTTAACAATATATAGTTTAATTTAAATATAATAAAATATATAAATATGTCATTTGTATATCTATACTATTATTTGAGAAGCAAATTTGCTTAGTTGTCATGTTATCCATCAGTTTAGGTAATTTTGTTTATTTATCATATTTTTAATAGTTATATATGTTTTATTTATAAATACAACGAATCTTCTATACTATTATTTAAGAACAAATATTTGCTTAATTGTTATGTTCTCCATAAGTTTAGGTAATTTTATAGTAAATTTGCTTAGCTGTCATTCCATAAGTTTAGGTAATTTTGTTTATTTATCATATTTTTAATAGTTATATATGTTTTATTTATAAATAAAACGAATCTTCTATACTATTATTTAAGAACAAAAATTTGCTTAATTGTTATGTTCTCCATAAGTTTAGGTAATTTTATTTATTTATCATATTTTTAATATTTATAGATATGAAAAAGAAGGATGGCGGAGAGCGACTCTGAGGGAGAAAACCCTAACGGCGGTGGCGGCGGCGGCTCAACCAAACAGGACGGAGACCAGACGCAGGCGCAGCAAGGAGGCACGGGGACTGCAGAAGGCACAGCTGTTTCGAGAGGATTGCAGGGGGAGGTCCTCGGTGGAGATGAAGAGCGAGAACTGGAGGACTCTCCATGGAGGAAGAAGAAGCAGCACGGTTTCTCTGAACCAGTCGTCGAGGTGGTGGGAGGAGTAGCCTCGATCCAGATCCTAGATGACATTTTTGACGAATCAGAATTGCTATGGAAGTCGTTTGTGGTGGGGTATTTCATTGGGGACGCTCCACACATTGGTTCGGTGCACGCAACGGTGAACCGCATTTGGTCGTCTCCAAAAGCAGGATCAAAAATTGACGTTCAGTTTATTGAGAAGAACACTGTTCTCTTTCGTATAGACAACAGTCAGATGAGGTCCCGGGTATTGCAGAGGAAGTACTGCCACATTGTCGATGTTCCACTAGTGGTGAATCTTTGGTCCCCAGAATCAGCGCTTAACCCTCCTGACCTGACTGCCATGCCACTTTGGGTTGATCTGAGGGGAGTTCCAAATGACCTCTACTCTCACAAGGGTTTAAAGTGCTTGTCTAGGGCAGTGGGTCATTTTGTTAAGCTGCATCCTCATACGGAGCGTTGTATCAGGCTGGATGTAGCACGTATTTTCACGGAAGTGAATCTTCACAAGCCTCTTGTGGAGAGAATCGTGTTTAAAGAAAAGGATGGCAGTGATCGAGAGATTGAAGTGAGTTTTCCTTGGCTCCCACCAAGATGCACAGTGTGTAAGAAATGGGGGCACAAGGGTCAGGATTGTACCAGCAAGGACATCATATTGTTCAAGCAGACAGATGGTAGGAATGATAAGATTGATGAAGCCAAGGATAATGGTCAGCAGAGATAGGGTAATAAGCGACTTAATACTTGATCTGGAAGCCATTACGCCTCGACTTGCAGAGGTTTCAAGTACGGAGATATCATCTAGACAGGAGAAGTCCGAAGAAAGAAGGATCATAGTGGCAGAGAAATCACAGGAGATTCGATTGATTGAGCCAACAACGGAGGCTTTTCATGCTATTGAGTCTGATAATTGGGAAAATAGGACGGGTGGAGTTGAAGTGCGAAGACAAGAGGAAAAACCCAGAGAAATAAAGGGGATTCAAAAATCACCATCTAGGTACAGTCCCCTCCAAGACATAATGGAGGAGGAAGATGAGGACTGTGAAGAGAAGGTACAAGAGGTTGAGGAAGGTGAGATGGTAGATAATGGTGCGGTAATCAGGAAGAATCAGCAGGAGCAAGTGCCATCTGGGAAGCGTCCTGCTACGGTGGGGAAGCAGGTGCGAGCAAAACCTGTCCGCGATAGGGATTTAATGTATATGGGGAAGCTAAACACTACAAAAAAATCTTCCGGTAGGAAGATATGAAGTCTTTCTTTGCTTGGAACATGCGTGGTTTCAACATGACACGCAAACATAGAGCTCTTCGATTATGGTTGCAAGAAGAAAAAGTCTCCTTTGGATGCCTACTAGAAACGCGAGTCCAGGAATGTAATTTTCAACGATGTATGAATGCGGCTATGCCAACTTGGCACTCACTCACGAATTATGAGCATCATCAATTGGGAAGAATTTTGTTTTGTTGGAAGAATGATGTAGTCGTTACGAAATTGCATATGAGTGCACAGGTAATCACCTGTGCTGTACAAGTTCCAGACACAAGGGGACAATTTATTTGTTCAGCGGTTTACGCTTTTAACACTGTCGGAGAGAGAATGGCCTTATGGGAGGAGCTGCGAGGTACGCAGGTAGCTTATGGTCATCTGAATTTACCTTGGATCATCATGGGGGATTTCAACTCTACACTTTCCTCGAGCGAGCATTCACGGGCACTGGATTATCGCAGTGAGCAATTAGGGATGAGACACTTTCAGGAAGCTGTCACTGGTTGTATGATGATGGATTTGCCTTATACAGGTGCCCTTTTCACCTGGTGGAATAAACAAGTTGAAGACCCAATTGGGAAAAAGCTTGACAGAGTCCTTGTCAATAGAGAATGGTTGCTTACATATCCTAACTCCACTGTACACTTTGAGGCTGGTCGAGTATCAGACCATGCAAGGAGTTTGATTCGGACGATATGCATCATGAATGAAGCTCGGAAGCCATTCAGGTTTTTTAACTATCTAGTAGAGCATCAGGATTTCCTCCCAACAATTAAAGAAGTATGGGATGCTACGGAACCCCTCCTCCACTCCAGGTCTGCTCTATCTCTTTGCCACAAGAAACTCAAGCTTCTCAAGCAACCCCTAAGAGCTTTGAATAAGACCAATTACAGAGATTTTCCGGTGCGAACAAAGCAGGCTTATGAGGACCTTTGTGATTGTCAAAATAAGGTACTTCTTGACCCTAGTCCAGAAAATGTGGCTAGGGCAGCAGCTGCAGAGATAAAGTGGAGCAGATTGGCTCGCATTGAGGAGAAATTCTATAGGCAAAAATCATGTGTTCGCTGGTTGAGTGCGGGGGATCAGAATACGAGATTCTTTCACGCAACAGTGCAAACTAGAGCTGCCAGAAATACGATCAGAAGCTTGGTAAGTGGACAGGGAGTTCTACTCACATCAGACGTGGACATAAAAAAAAAAGAAGCTGTCTGTCATTTTCAGTCCTTCCTGCAATCCCAAGACCCAACATTAGAGGACATTTCAGTGAATTCGCTACAGAAGTTACTAATGTATAGGTGCCCAAGGGAGGCTGCAGCTGTGCTTGTGGGTCCAGTGACAGCTAAGGAAATTTATCAAGCTTTGCATACCCTGCCAAATGAAAAAGTCTCTGGCCCCGATGGCTTCACAAAGGAGTTTTTTGTTGCAGCTTGGCCTATCATAGGCAAGGAATTTATTGTGGCAGTGCAGTCCTTTTTCATCTTTGGTTTCATGCCTACGGGAGTCAATGCCACCATCTTATCTCTTATTCCGAAGACAACAAATGCTCAGACAATGAAGGACTACAGACCTATAGCCTGCTGCAACTTATTATACAAAGTGATCTCTAAAGTCCTTGCTAACAGACTCAAGATCATATTTCCTGAAGCTATTGAAGCCAACCAATGTGCTTTTGTCACTGATCGGTTGCTACTTGAGAATGTATTACTTGCTTCGGAGCTCGTCACAGGCTATCATCGACCTGGGAACGCAGCAAAATGTGCTATCAAATTTGACATCTCCAAGGCCTTCGACACGGTGAAGTGGTCTTTTATTACTTCGGTTCTGCTGGCAATGGGACTTCCTTCGCAGTTTGTTAATTGGATTCGGCTTTGTATTTCTACTGCTGCTTTCTCAGTTTGTATTAATGGGAGTCTAGAAGGATTTTTCACTAGTGCTAGAGGAATCAGGCAGGGCTGCTCTCTCTCCCCCTACCTCTATGTTATCCTTAATAATGTCCTCTCTAAACTGTTAAATAGAGCGGCAGAGGCTGGGGAGTTTGGCTATCATCCGCAGTGCAAAGAGGTCAAGCTTACACACTTGAGTTTCGCTGACGATATCCTTGTGTTCACTAAAGGTAGTACAGAATCGTTGTTGGGGGTGTTGGAGGTAATGAAACGTTTTGCTCGCATGTCAAGCTTGCACATAAACGCAGCTAAGTCATCCATCTTTATCTCCGGAAACAATGTCACTGCTCTACTTACTGTTGCGGAATCACTGAATATTGGGGTTGGAACCTTGCCTATACGCTATCTAGGTATGCCACTGACAACTAAGACACTTTCCAGCCACGACTATGAGCCTTTAATAGACCAAATCATGGGAAGGATGCTATGTTGGTCCAACAAAACGCTTTCCTTCGCAGGAAGACTTCAGCTAATCAAGTCAGTTATCGCTAGCATCGTCAATTTCTGGAGTCAGGCTTTCATCTTACCAGCACAGTGTCTAGATAAGATTGAGAGTATGTGCAGTGCTTTCCTTTGGTCTGGCTCTCCTACTCAGACGCACAAAGCTAAGGTTAGTTGGGATGATTTATGTGTTCCGAAAGAATAAGGGGGACTTGGAGTGAGAAAATTGTGGGAATCTAATAGAGTTTTTGCTTTGAAACTCATTTGGCGTTTGTTCACTCAACCTTCCTCCTTTTGGGTGAGTTGGGTGAAACATTATCTGCTCAAATAAAACTCATTTTGGGATGTAAGAGATGATAACAAAAGGATCCTGAATTTGGAGAAAATTGCTCAAGTTAAGGGATGTGGCTTATGAGTTTTTCAGGATTGATGTAAAGGATGGAGCGGCTTGCCATTTCTGGTTTGATGATTGGTTGGCAAAGGGGAGACTAATTGACATCACAGGTCCTACTGGCCCCACTTACTTGGGTATTGGACGACATGCAAAGGTGTGTGATGCTGTGACATTGGCGGATTGGAGCATCAGAGGGAGGAGAAGTCGACGGTACCAGGATCTCCAACAGAGTATCTTGGATAGGGAGCCGCCAGGGCCTGAAAAAGGGGTGGATATAGTGCTGTGGAGGCATGGAGTTGCAGATTATCGGGACCACTTCTCTACCTCAAGTACGTGGGAGCAAATAAGATCAAGAAGGACTGTAGTAGACTGGAATCGAGTAGTCTGGTTTACTCAAGGGGTTCCACGGTTTTTTTTTATTACTTGGTTGGCTATGAAGAATAGATTATCTACAGGGGATCGGATGAGACAATGGGGAATGCTACAAAGCTGTGAGCTATGTGGAGAAAGGGATGAGAGGCGGGATCATCTTTTCTTCGCCTGTCCTTACTCCTATACGGTGTGGGAGTGTTTAGCGAGGAGAATCATGGGAGACAACATCAACCCGGACTGGCACTGGACAGTGCAACACTTGCAGAGAATGAGACCGTTGGAAATGAACACTGTCTTGGCTAAGCTTCTTCAGCAGGTAACAATCTATCATCTATGGATGGAGCGAAATGCAAGGCGCTATCAGCAGAAAGGAGTGCCTACTGACCACATGCGACGGCTCATAGACAAGGCGATAAGAAACAGAATTACTTCTCTCAAGTACAAGCATAATCATAAGTATGGAGGTTTATTGCAAAGATGGTTCCAGCTTAGTTCCTAAGGGATAGATAATTTAAATTATTATTTGCTACTGTTTTAGTCTACACATGTAAATAACATTCTTTTGATAGATCAATAAATTTGAAATTTCATCAAAAAAAAAATATTTATATATATTATCAATAAATAAAACGAATTTATATGAATTATCTTATATTCTATAAATTTGCTTAATTGTCATGTTCTCTATAAGTTTAGGTAATTTTATTTATTTATCATATTTTTATTATTTGTATATAATTTATTTATAAATAAAACAAATTTATATGAATATATCATATTTTTAGAAAACGAGATAATTCTTGTAAATTATGTTGTTATCTTGAAGTTATTTATATATAAAACTTAAATTTTAAATTAAAATATAAAAAATGTTTATTTATTATATAACGAAAACGAATTTATATTAATAATTTTATATTTTCTAAAATAAGATAATTCTTATGTATTATGTTGTTATATTGAAAATATATTTTCCTATTATAAAACTTAAAATTAAGATAAAAATTATAATTTTAATAATTAAATAGAAATCATCAAAAAAATTATTTGAAAAGTGAATTTGTTGATTTGTCTCCATGATTCTAGGTAATTTTGGTCATTTATCAGAATTTGTCTAATTTTGTTTATTATTGATTATATCATTAAAACTAATTTATATTATCAATATAATATTTTAGAAAATAAATTAATTTCTATGTATTATGCTGTTATCTTGAAAATATTTTTTTATATAAAATTTAAAATTAACATGTAAAAAATCTATACTATTGTTTAAGAAGTAAACTTGATGTTTTCTGATTTGTCATATTTTCCATGATTTTAGGTAATTTTGATAATTTATCATAATTTCTATAATTTATATATTTAAAACAAATTTGTATTAATAGTATCAGATTCTTAGAAAATAAGATATCACAATAAATTATCTATTATTAATTAAATATAAATCATCACTCAATAAAAATATTTAAGAAGTGAATTTTTATGATTCATTAAGTTCTCCATGATTTTAGGTAATTTAATTATATGTCATAATTTCTATAATCTTTTTTTTTTATCATACTGTATTTTTAGAGAATAAATAACTTATGCATTATATTGTTATCTTGAAAATATGTTTTTCTATTATAAAATTTAAAATTAAGATATAAAAAATTATAATTAAATATAAATTAATTAAAAACATTTGTATACATATTATAATTAAATATAAATCAAGGAAAATAATTATAGAAATATATTCTTTTAAATATTTCTGATGTTTGAGTTTT